GAATCATCTGTGTGGCAGCCACAGAGGGCACCGAAATGCAGCTTTACGACGCAAGTAATTTTGGCTCAGTTGTTGACATTGCCGCTCTGGGTTACAAAATAGTTGGAACAGGCTCTGATGGGAGGTATCATGTCAATACGGGTACTTCGGGTTCAGCCGTTATCGTGGCAGGTATAGCTGGGATGCTCTACAGCCTTGAACCTTCTCTGAAGATTAAGCTGACTCCTGATTATATCAAAAGTATCATTATGGATACGGCCACCAAAGGTGTCAAGGACAGTAAAGGGGTAAAGACTCTCTCATTCGGCCGCGTGAATGCTGCGGCGGCTGTTAATAAGAGTGACTTGAAAGAGTGACGGTATAATTTCTCCATTTCGACTTCATGTCATGAGTCATGGCGACGGAGCCATTCACGTACTTGGTCCGTGAACTTTCGTCTATCTAGGTGGTCTTTCCCTTGCTGGATGTTAGACTTCCCCGCCCTTGAGTCGAGAACTCGACTCACCCACCCTTGGCTGCAAAACCGAATCATTGAGCTACGATGTGTAACCTATAGATCTCAAGAATAGCAACGAAAGAGATATGGAAGTAAGAGAGATCTAACCGAGTAGTTCAATGATACCTGCCTACGGGCGGCAGTGGGTGGGTTAAAAAAAGCTAAAGAAGCGTAGCAACGCTAACGACTGACAGCGAAAATATCAGACCATCTCGTCGCAGTCGACTAGTCATCCCTTCATTATCTTGTAGTCTTGACACAATTCGATTCCGGATGAGTCGCTCGTCACTTGAACTCCTAAGCATGTTTCCCATGCTTCTCCAATCCGCGAATGATGAGGATGGCGTTAAGGCTCTCGAATATCTCGTGCGTGAGACGAGAAGTGATGTTAAAGGGGTCTTGTTTACGGATGGGTTCACAGGACCCTGGTGAATCGCCGATTCGCCAATTACTTCAGATCGGAGGATAGCTAGCCGGTGTCTCAGTATAGAATTTTCGAGTTTTCGAATTGTCTCACGCGCTGCCTCGTTTCACATAATTTCACATACTCTCGAGTAAATTGAAGCAATATTCATATGTCTGGTAGAAGACATGTCTAACACCTCGCTCTTGACGACTTTATACGCAATCGGTCGCGCATTTTACACGGAATTGCGACTTTCGCTGGCGTTTGACGAAATGTTGAATCTGTTATCCACTTCGTATAATTCCGCTCGGCTCTGAAACTGTGATACACGTAATACGGGTTCATTTCTACTGATAATGATATACT